GCACGCTTGTGCTGCCCCCTCACAGACACGCTCGTGCTCGCTAGTGCTGCCCCGCTCACTGACACGCTCGTGCACACTAATGTTCGTAAGCGCGCGCACCGACGGGACGGTGGGTGTCTCAGCCCTTCTGGGCCGCTCCAGGGCTACCTTCCAGGTGCTGTCCGATGGGCAGCTCTGCCCGCTGTCTAGGGCAGATTTCCTTTTGGAAGTCTGTAACCGCCAGTTCTTTTGGTCAAATTCCTTAATGCTGCTTAGTATTAAATCGAGGGTGTTGCTAACTCGAGGAGTCTGATGTAGCGTAAAGCCCAGAATGGCGCTCCACTACCATGGTGAACCAACAGATGACCCTGTGTACTTGTCATTTAGTATTTAGAGGAGGAAATGAAGCCATTTGCCATATGTGAAAAGAAGGTTGGGGGTCCTTCCTGAGTCAGGGTTGTCTCTTCTCTGCAGGTCACCTTCCTGCTGGCCAGCTCCCCTAGGCTTTCCACCTGCCTTCAGAATCTTTCTGGCAAACGCTCCTTCTTGCACAGTACACTTCTTGGGCATTGGGTTCAACCTCAGAGGCCTAAATGCCAGGGAAATGCACTTCCCTGAAACGTTGTCATTGATGTTCAGTGACCACTTTCAGAATTGGACTGTAAAATCATAGATGGTCTTTTTCTTTCAGGTTTATGATGACAAAGACTACAGGAAAATTCGGTTTGTAGGTCGCCAGAAAGAGGTGAGTGAAAGATCTAGTTAAGACAGGTAAGCATTCAAAAAGCTTATGTGGGGGGAGCATGCCTAATCCAAAAATCTGGAGCACCCCAAAATCTGAGACATTTTGAGCACCAACATGGTGCTACCAGTGGAGAAATCCCCCTTTGACCTAATTTTTTGACTTTTCAGTTTGTGTATGGGGGGGCAGGCACAGGGATCCAGGGCCATGCACATTACTAGGCAAGCTCTCTACCAGTGAGCTTGGCCTCTAAGAGTAATTTTATAGATCACTTTTGGGTTTATAGAAAAACTGAACAGAGCACAGAGTCCCAAACACCTCTGTCCCTCGTGGTCTCTGCTGTTGCTCACATCTATCTTGTGTTGGCATGGACCTTTGTTATAGTTGGTGAACCGGTTTTGGAACTGATGTYTGACTTGCACCCACAGATTACAGAGGGGTCACTCCTAATGTATGCACTCTCTGGGTTTGACAGATGTGCACTGACGGGGACCCACCATTGCAGGAGCACACAGGGGTTTTCCTGCCCAGCACATCTCTGCGCCTGCCTGTTCTTCCTCTATACCCAGCCTCTGGCAACCCCTGATCTCACTATCTCTAGTTTCATTGGTAGTATTTTAACAAATAAGATAAAGCTGGACTTAATCTGAAGACCAAGAATAATAGAACACTGGGTTGTTGAGCTGGCCTTTGCAGGAGAGAATGGGAAGCACCTCCTCATGGGGCTAGTGCAGTCTTRAGCTGCCATAGCTGCAGAGTGCCTGTATAGGGCCCCACGGTCCYAGTTTATGGCAGCTCTTATTGAGGGGAGGCTGCAGATACACCACAGAATGAGGCATGCCCCGCCTCCACAAGGAAGGGAACAGAAGTAAGGCCTGATGTGGTCCTGGAGTTGGTGGTGCCCTGGGCCCCTGGAAARGTGGATGCCAGGCTGCAGGTTCTTCTGCTGCTGTTACTGGGTTGTCAGACATGCACTGTTGATAGCAGGTATCCCTCTCCTGCACTGGTGGTACTCTGAGGCCTGCAGTGGGAAGTGGTGTGAAGGGGACATCTGGGACTGGAGGTGGTGGGGACTGGCCAAAGTGCATTGGTGTATTTGCTTACAAGCTCGGGTGCTGGGTTGTCCTGGCCGGCTGCATTCAGAGCCATGCTCCCACCAGTGAGTTTTCTAACACAGTGAGTCTTGGTTACTCATCTCCTGGGGYGTGGGTACCTGGTGCCTGAGACAGGGATGGGCTGGGAACAGCTGTCCCAGRAAGCACTGGGAAGAGAGCACCTTGCTGTGCGGCTGCTCTCCTTATAGCTGGAGGGCAGGCTCATTTTCAGTGTTTGAAGCTAAGCAATCAGGCAGAAGCTGTAGAACACCAGGAGACTGGGTCCTTCAGCCAGCCTCCCTCCCCGTGG